ACGCCACCTCCCCTATTATAGAAGAATAACTTCATTTTCATGATCATACCTTAATAATTGTTTTCCTAATCAGCTCACTAGTACTTTATATTATTACCCTAATATTAACAACTAAATTAACTCATACAAGCACAATAGATTAACAAGAAGTAGAAACAGTATGAACCATTCTACAAGCTATTATCCTTATCTTAATTGCTCTCCCTTCCCTACATATTCTTTATATAATAGATGAGATTAACAGCCCATCCTTAACCGTTAAAACCATAGGCCATCAATGATACTGAAGCTATGAGTATACTGACTACGAAGACCTAAATTTTGACTCCTACATAATCCCTACTGGAAGTTGATAACAGCGTAGTCCTACCCATAGAAATACCAGTTCGAATATTAATTTCATCAGAAGATGTCCTTCATTCATGAGCCATACCCTCCTTAGTCTTAAAAACTGATGCCATCCCCAGAGGCCTAAACCAAGCAGCACTTACATCAACCCGACCGGGCCTCTATTACAGTCAATGCTCAGAAATTTGCGGATCCAACCATAACTTCATACCCATCGTCCTAGAACTAGTACCACTAAAATATTTTGAAGATTGATCAACATCCATAACTTAATTAACACCGTGAAGCTTATAAAGCATTAACCTTTTAAGTTAAAGACTGAAAGTACTAATCTTTCCACAGTGAAATGCCCCAACTAGATACATCAACGTGATTCATTACTATTTTATCTATAATATTAACACTTTTCCATTTCCCCATCTCTCTCTTCCCTGGAGGAAAATTCAGAAACCATGATTAGCAAGTGGAGAATGGAAGAAAAGAAAAGGTTATAACACCGAATGCTGGAAAGTTTATTATATGAGGCCAAATATTCCAATTATATACAAGAGGATAGTTTATTATCCTGAATATAGCCATAAAATTTGGGAAATTGAGTTTTTAATCCAGCAATAAAAATGAAACAGAAAACAAACATTATTTTCTGATTGCATCTCAAATTATGAGCTTAGTCAATATATTACATAAACCTGTAGTCTCTTAGAAAGTAATAAGCTCCTCTCTTATAGTGCCTGCCCATCCATCACCAGATGGTGTCTTAGGCTAGGTAGAGAATTGGTCTGGCAGATTGTTGACTTATTATTTTTAGCTAAAAGACCACATGCTTTATTCTCAGCAGTCATTAAGGTCTCAGTAGACTATAAAACCTCCCTGAAGAATATTCAGACACAAAGTCAGCATCAATCCCCCAAAACCCACACACTGCAGGGCTTAGAGTGCGACATAAAAGTGGCAGGCATAGATTAACAGACTGAGAGAAGAACTTCTTCTGTGGGTGTCTCATCTGTCTTTTGGTGAGTTCTGAAACCCTGTAGGAATAAGCCAGCTGATTCTCCTGATGACTTCTCCGAGAAAGGGTAAAGCTAGGTAAGGAGTAGAGCAATGTGAAGTGGGAGAGACTGTCTGGAGGATGTCTGATAGCGGCACTCCAGTAAGGTGAGAAGAGCAGGAAAGAAGACCCTGGACTTGTGGTTCTTGTTCTGGCACTACTACAAACTGTGTACCCCTGGGCAATTCACTGTATTTCTCTAGATTGCTGACTTGCTATGGCCAATTTCCTTGCAACTCCAAGCTTCAAAGGTCAGAGTCTATGTGACTCATTTACATTGCTGCAAATTCAGAGAGAGAAGCAGAACTCAGGACACAGAAAGGGTCCAGAAATCTATGAACAAAATGGTCACAATCTATTCGACAACAAATTAACAGCTGAATCACACATGGTCTAACTTTGCTCTTGCCTTATGAATTCTAAATTAACAAAATACATAAAAGTTCCCAGGAGATTCAAAGATAGAACTCAACTAGTCATAAACTTTAGATGAACCATGAATCACTAATTATTTCTAGTATTTCACTATCCATGACATACAGTGAAAATGACATTTAGACAGCCTCTCTATCCATCCCTCCAGTCCCTCTCTACCTCCTTTCTTTTTTTAATTTTTAATCTTAAAGATGTGGGGTATAATTCAGGGTTAGGAATACAAATGTTCATTATGTAAGCACCCTTGTTGATGTGGTGTGCCCCTCTCTCCCCTGGTAGTTTCCCACTATTGCCATTCTCACTCCCCTCTCCTCTGACAGTTTCCCACTACTGCCAATCCTTTTCTTACAGTATTATGATAATTGTTCAAGGTCTGCTTATGAGTAAGTACATGTGGTACTCAGTTCTTTGTTTCTGTGATAGATCACTCAGTATTATAGACTCTAAGTTCATCCAAATTGCTACAAAGTTCATAATTTTGTCCTTCTTTATGGTTGTGTAATATTCCATCGTGTATATGTACCACATTTTTTATCTAGTTCTCTTTTGATTTCTATTTTCTTTCAGCACTCCAGCAAATTCTGACAGACATGTTTTTACTTGACCAGAAATTGAAAGTAAAATAAACTAAAAGAACATAAACGCTATAATGAATCTCAGAGAATGTCCTTAAAAACAGCCATAAAGGAGACATAGGTGTAGAAAGAGAAATTACTTTTTCTGGGCTCACACTGCCAGTATCTACCAGAGCCAGGGTTAAATTCCAGGACTCCTGATACCCAAGATCTTCTCCTTTAAACCAATTTAGTTCCAATTTGGCTTCAGTAATATAAAGGTTCTACGCTCTATCAGCAAAAGAAATTGAGTCCAGCCGTGGAGAAAGGTACTTTTGCATCATTTTCTTCCTATGAAATTTTTGCTCAGAAATGCATACTTCTATTTCCTTTTTCAACTTCCTTTCCAGTGTTTTAATGGTGACTCAAAGACCTTGGTAAGAGAGTAGACAATCTTAAAAATCTTTAAATTGTGATTTTATTACCTGCTCACTATAAACTATGAGGCAAGCTGATTTCAGTAAGCCTCTGTCCACAACTGTTAAAGATTAAGTGAGTAGTAAATGAATGTAAAGCTTCTTTTTTTTATTGCAGAGTACCCTGCATGTTGCATGTATTCAATAGGTATTCATTTTTTTTCTCAGTATTGTTTTATTCTTATCCGTCTAAACAACCCACAATGTCAATGGTCTTTGGGTTGGAAAAGGGTTGTGGTCCTGGGACTGTCGGGCATCCTTCTTTCTATAAATACTAAAACTTCGGTCCCCAGACTCAGAATGACTTTGGCCTGAGCTTTGCACAGAATTCTGTTTCCAGTCTACTTTCTTCACCCTTCTCTTTCTGTTGCCTTTATATTAGCACTGTTTTCTTCCATGTTTTCTGATTACTTTCTATGAGATTCTATATGAAGAAAGGGGGTGTAGTCACATGGGTGAAATAAGAGATAAAAAAGACTAGTTAGTTGTAGATCCCATGAAATCCCAGTTCTGGAGGAGACACAGGAACACACAGACTGAGCTCTAAGACCAGAAGGAATGTAATCAGTGCAAACACAGATGATTGGCCACTGACTTCTGGGACCCATAGTACATGTGAGCCCTGAGTTGCTGGGGAAAATTCAAACGTGCTTCCTAGAGTAGCAATGATGCATCGCACTTCATTCCAGCATTTCTGTAGCTTTTGAGTTCAGAGGGCCCCCAAGTTGGCTACTTCTTTCATTTCCATTTGAAAGAACTCTGAGAACACCATCTGACTTTCCTTTGTCAGAGAGGTTAGTGAAGGAGAGAGAACATGTATATATTTCTAGAATCCTTCTTCCAAAGAAAAGTGCCATATAATAATTCTGAAACATGTCTGCTAAATGAAAAACCTTACAGTCTTCTCTATCCTCATCCACCATGAGACAATAAGCAAGAAAATATTTCAAAAACATCTGAATGACAGGAGAAAAACAATATAACAGTCTCCTAGACTGTACGAATTAATAGGTAAATGCCAGTATAAGAAAAATTGTGAGCAAATACAATACATAAAGGTTTAAGAGGTGCTATGTTGGTGAGTGGATTAATAACAGTGAGCATCTACAAATATGTAAGTAGAAATGTTGTGTGAGTACACAAATCTATGTGTACACCTGACTACCTATGTCCATAAAATTGCTGCATGTATGCCAGTGCAGACTGACATGTGCATATTAAAGAGTGTAAAGGCCAAAGGGGAGTGTGTGAATATATCTGTATAATAAGAGTAAAATTATGAGAGATAAAATGGGAGTGGGTGTTTTGTTAGAGTATGAATAAGCTCTAGTATATCATTTCAGCATTTCTGTAGCTTTCGAATACAGAGGGCTCCCAAGTCGACAACATTCATGTTGTAAAGGTACTTGAATGTGTCTTTGTGAATAATGGGTATTTTGAGAGTGTATATGACTATGTAAGGATGTAAAAGTTTGTATTTAGAATAATGACCTCCCATAGACTGAAGGTTAGTGTACTTATAGCATATGTAGGGGAGAACACACATTTTTTTAAAAGTGAGAGTTGTGTGCCTTTTCACAAATATATGTGTTTTTTGTTTATATTTGTTGATGCTAGTTTGCAGCAATCTGCCCCAAAATGCTGATGTCCAGAGGCAGTTAATTACCTCCACACTCTACTTTCCCCCTCCATTCTCCATCCAAGCACACATCATAATTCAATCTAGCTCTGGGGAATGCTCTCATCAATTCGTTACACATCTGAATTAAACAACATTTTCAAGAAAATATTTAAGTACTTCTAAGAGCTATTAATAACTCAAGTTCCTGATCTGCTCTTATGATAACTGAATTGTATTAACATATTTCTACTGAATGATGCTTCTAAAATACACGAAAGTTGTAGATAATGTAGTTTAAACATTTTTTGTAACTAAATGATATTATTGAAGTAGTTGTCAACATCTTCCTTTTTTCATAAACAGAAGGAAATTCTAGCTCAGCCTGTATCCTGATGATCACAAAATATGAAGAAAAGAAGTTTTCCCTTGTCATTTCAAAACCAGTGATTTCATGAATGCATGAATTTCCACCTGTGTAGACATCATTGCTGTGTCTCTTGCTTCCTGGTTTCTTGTCCTTAAGTGCAACTCTTAGAATTCTCCACATCAGAAGATCTGGCCTTGAGAAGTGCCCTAGGTTCTTCTTGCCATGCAGTTACTCAATGTCACTCACCCTGCTTCCTTCCTCCTGACTGGTATCCCTGGTCTAGAGAGCTTTCAGTCGTGGCTAGTAGGGCCCCTCTGTGTGATGTATGCTATGGCCCTTGGGGGAAATACAGTAATTCTGCAGGCTGTGCGAGTGGAGCCTAGACTTCACAAACCCATGTACTATTTCCTATCCATGTTGTCCTTCAGTGATGTGGCCATGTCTATGGCCACACTGCCCACTGTACTCAGAACCTTCTGTCTCAATGCCCGCAACATTGCTTTTGATGCCTGCCTAATCCAGATGTTTCTCATTCACTCCTTTTCCATGATGGAGTCAGGTATTCTGTTGGCCATGAGTTTTGACCGCTTTGTGGCCATTTGTGATCCCTTGCATTATGCCACTGTGCTCACCAATGAAGTCATTGCTGGGATGGGTTTAGCTGTCATTGCTCGGAGTTTCATCACCCTTTTCCCACTTCCCTTCCTTATTAAGAGGCTGCCTATCTGCGGATCCAATGTTCTTTCCCACTCCTATTGCCTACACCCTGACATGATGAAGCTTGCCTGTGCTGATATCACTATCAACAGCATCTATGGACTCTTTGTTCTCGTATCCACTTTTGGCATGGACCTGTTTTTTATCTTCCTCTCCTATGTGCTCATTCTGCACTCTGTCATGGCCATTGCTTCCCGTGAGGAACGCCTCAAAGCTCTCAACACATGTGTGTCACATATTCTGGCTGTACTTGCATTTTATGTGCCAATGATTGGGGTTTCCACAGTGCACCGCTTTGGGAAACACACCCCACGTTATATACATGTCCTCATGTCTAACGTCTACCTCTTTGTGCCTCCTGTGCTCAATCCTCTCATTTACAGTGCCAAGACAAAGGATATCCGTCGAGCCATTTTCCACATGTTTAGACGCATGAAAAAGTGACTTTTACATTTGACTTTAGTGTCTGATGTTTAATGTGGCCACGGGCACTGATCAGTGGCATCATCATCATCATCACGTATAAGATAGATGTACATATTGGGGAAGAATATAGTGATTCTACACAGGAAATAGTGATGCAAAACTTACAAAATAAAACAAGTAGTTCCAAATAAGTAGTACATTCAGTAAATACAAATGACACTGATAGAAAGATAAATATTGGATACAGTTGAATGATTGGACAAGTTTTACAAAGGAAGATTAATGTAAGATAAAAATTATTTTCTACAATAATGACTTTTACTAATGTAATAATTAAGGTACTGAGTCCTTTAATGTGTCAGGTTCTATTCTAAATTACTTATGTGCATTAGTTCACTTAATATTCATAAAAATGCTATAGGGCATAGAGAATTAAATTGTTCAGACTAATATAGATAATATGTGATCTAGATGAGATTCAATACTAATTTATCTTCAGTGTTAGTGTAGAATCAACGCCTACAAATACAGCCCCTTTGTCTAATTGTCATCACAAACATTATTATTGCTGTCTTTGCTTTCTCCTCCACTGTCATTTTCAAACATTCACACATTGCTTTAACTTCACAGAGTGAAGTTTGATATGCTGTCAGAAGTTACCACAAAATATATGAATGAATATGACCAAGGAAAACTGACAGATGTTGACGTTTAGAAGGATCTCCAGATTCCTCTCCATTTCTTTTATGTTTCCACCACTTAATTCTTCCCCAAGGAAAACAATGTTCAATATCTGAGATATCTGAGTGATAGATTTTTGAAGGAAAGAAGGGGGCATACTGTGTCGGGGGCATGATTGCTCTTTCTTTTTCCTTCTGGGGATTTTAACTTCCTTCCACACAATGACATGTTAAAAACTGTCAGAAATTATGTCCTTCTAAGATGCCCAACTCCAAAAAAAACCTCAGATAATAGAGCACTTATGCTTAAGTTACTAGAAAATAATTATTTCAGACTTTTCTTAGAAATACATACATATATCTGAACAGCATCTATGGACTCTTTGCTCTTATACCCACTTTTTGGAATGGACCTGTATATACTCTTTCCTTGACACCAGAGAGATCAAATTTCTTGGCCTAATTTTGGTAAGCTAAAATCAAGTTTAGGTTTACTTCTAGACAAAAAAAAAAAAAAAAAAGGAAAGAAAAGTAGATGCCCTAGCTCTATAGAGTCTAATCTAACTTGCCAGGGAAACCGGTCTGGAGATCACACGGCAGCAAAGCACATAGTTATTTAGAGTTTTTCTTTTTGTGCAAAGCTCTATGGAGGAAATATCAAAGAGAAGTGACAGGGGCAGAAAGTAGAAGCTGTTTCCAAATGGATATAATGCAAGTATTTAGGAATACACATTTTCATAAAGGTTCATAAGTACAATAAAAGACTCATAAGTGTCCTAGTTCACTAAATATATTGTTTATAGGGGAATTATTGAATAGCATAACTTAGCATGATTTCAAAGGATAATTAGATTTAGTGACCTATAAAGTCCAGTACTTCAGTCAATTTAAATAATAACTTTTGATTCATATAAGACACTCCTAGTTCAACACCAAATAATAATATTTTTTAGTTTGAGGTAAGGTTGAGGTAAGGTAAACACTCACTGATTCCTACTTCAAAGAGAATGAAGGGTCATTCTTTGATCTTACTTTATAACTCACTGGTACAAAAGGAAAAGGAACAAAGAAAAGGGAGTATGATCCTCTCAAAAAAGTCTCTGGCTTGTTTCCACTTTATTTTCCTCCTTTTTTTCTTTATCATCAGTTAAGAGAGTTATTGGCTTTCTGGGGCTAGGGGAAAAGGTATTTTAAAATGTCATCTTCTCTCATGAGGCAGGCACCATAAGAACAACGTAGGGCCACTCCTCAGCAATAATTCTAAGAAAGCCTAGGCTAAGCCTTGTTTTTTTAACCTTGGGCAGAAACTCTCTTGCCTCCTATTATTTGACATGTTTTGCTTTGAACTGAACATTTTCCCTATAGAAAAGGCAAAAATACCTTAATTTTGGCCTAGAGTAAGGTAAAAACAAAAATTTATACTTTTTTTTAGACCCCTCAGGCCTACCTCTAACATTATATATGTAACATAGTTCAGCTAAGCTTACTAGGAGACTAATTTGAGGTTTATGGGGGGGAAAAATCTGAGTAATAAAGGTAATGCTTTTGTTTTGCCTTGCATTGGGTACATTTTTAATCTTCCAGGGCCAGTGATAGGTGGATAGAGAGGGGAGAGAGAGAGAGAGAGAGAGAGAGAGAGAGAGAGAGAGAGAGAGAGAGAGAGAGAGAGAGGAAAAACTAAGAAAAATAATTATGATAGGATGGGGATATTGATCTTTGTGCCTCATGGATAAGACTCATAGAAGGGTTAAGATAACTGGAATCTAGTACAGAGTGAAAAAAATATACAAATTCTTATTGCTTGGAATTTATAGAATTAATTTCTTTCTGAACCCCGGGAATGGGAACCTTTAGAAAGGAAAGCTTGGTAGATGTCCAGACCCTTAGTCATGACTAATCAAAAATTCATTTTCTCAATACCACAGAGAGTCCTGCCCTACCTCAATTAAGCCATCTCTAGATCTGATCAACTCTGCTGGGACAAGTCTGCTTTACAATTGCAGTTATAGTCCAGCTGGATAAGAAGTTCTCTTCACCTAAATATTGTTTAAATAAATAAATAAGCAGAAGCAGAGGCACAAAGAGGTTATCTTCTGAGTTAGGTTATCTGCAGCAAAGGCATTTCCTAATGAGGAAAATATCCAATATTCCACTGCCATCTGGTCACATTTTCTAATGTGCTGATATACTCTGAACCCAAGATCCTATAGTGTTCTATTTCATTCTCAGGTAAGAAGTCTATTTGTTGGGACTTGTACATTTGCATACAGACAACAAGGAGCCCTCCAGACAGCTGAGGGAGTATTTGCTCTTAAATACATATAGATTCTCTAGAAACAACACACAGATTATGTGATAAGCAGTTACTTTATGAATTATTATCTTCCTAACTTCAAACAATAAATTAAAAGTCTTTTCCAAGGAATTAAACTCTGCAGTGGAAAAAGAAGACTATTAAGCAAATAGTAATTTGACATAAATGTCAGAAACCAAAATTTGGTCTCATGGTTTGTCACACTTGGGGTGGGTGGTGTGCCTTAAGTTTATACTTAATATGATATGATATAATGTAGTATAATATAATACAAATGTTTTTTCCTTGTTTGTATTATGCATGAAAACTTGTTCACAAATACTGTATATGTAATTTTAAAAAAGAAGAAATAAATTATCCACTATTTAACTTAATTCGTTGTTTTGATTTGTGCATGTATAATTCAGGTATCAGTTGACAATACTTAAAAATTTGATATTAATGTCTATACCAGAAGAGATAAGGTAGACAAGTGGGACCTCATCAAACTGACAAGCTTCTGCAAAGCAAAAGAAACTATCAAGGGAGTGGAGAGACAGCCCACAGAATGCGAAAAAATATTTGCCAACTGTATATCTGACAAAGGCTAACATTTATGATCTACAAGAAACTCAAACATGCCAAAAGGGAAAAAAAAAGAAACAGCCCCATTAAAAAGGGGGCAAAAGACATGAATAGACACTTCTCAAAAGATATACGTGCAGCCCACAAACACATGAAAAAGTGCTCAGCCTTACTCCTCATCATCAAAGAAATGCAAATCAAAACCACATTGAGATACCACCTAACCCCAGTAAGAATGGCTATCATTAATAAAATAAACAACAACAGAAGCTGGGGAGGATGCGGAGAAAAAGGAACGCTTCTACAATGCTGGTGGGAATGCAAACTAGTGCATCCTCTTTGGAAGACAGTGTGGCAATTTGTGAAAGAACAAGAAATTGACCCTTCATATGACCTAGCAATCCTCTTATTGGAAATATACCCAGAAGAACTCAAGTCATTCTACCAAAAAGATACCTGCACACGCATGTTTGTTGCAGCTCTATTCACAATAGCAAAAACATAAACTGACCATGCAGCCATAAAGCAGGACAAACATATGGACTTCGTAGCAACTTGGATGAATTTAGAGTCTATCATACTCAGTGATCTATCATAGAAAAAAAGAACAGAGTACCATATGTTCTCACTTATAAGTGGACCTTGAACAATTATCATAATACTATAAGAAAGGGATTGGCAGTAGTGGGAATCTGCCAGGGGAGAGGGCTGGGATTGGCATTTGAGGGAAACTGCCAGGAGAGGGAGGGGCACACCTCATCATCAAGGGTATCTGTATAATGAACATTTGTATACCTAGACCTGAATTGTACCCACATGTTTAAAATAAAGAATAATAATAATAATAATAATAAAGAAGAACCAAGTAAGAAAAAGGAATGGAAGCAAGGACAAAATACAAGAAAGACCATATACATGTCAGTACAGAGGCTTCTGAATCAGAGAGAAGGATAAACTCTGTGGGAAGAAAAACCTGAGGATTCACTGACTGGAAACCCCTGGGCTGGAGCTGGGAGCTGCAAACACCTCAGTGGGGGAGTAGACCAAGAATGTGGACAGGAGTCCTAACTCCCAGGGTGACTTCTGCAGAGATGGGCCCTTTAAGTGCATAATTAAGGTGAAATGAGATCATCAGCATGAAGCCTTCATCTAATAAGATTAGTGTCCTTATAAGATGAACCACCAGACAGCTTGTCTGCCTCCTGCTCCCCAAAATATACACACAAAGGAGAAGGCCATGTGGAGATGCAGTGAGGAGATGGCCGTCTGTAAACCAGGAAGAGAGCCCTCACTAGAAGCCAGTTTTGATCTTAAACATCTGGACTCCACAACTGTGTGAAAATAAATGTCTGTTGTTTAACCCCCACCCCCACAACAAACTAAAACATTTGCTATTTCCCTGAAATGTGCATAAGCCACCAACACTCTTCTAATGTAAAGTATAATCCCCGGCCAAGACTTCCTATGAATTTCTGGAGATGAGTATCACCCATCCTCAGCATTGGTGT